GTCCTCTAGGGTCACTAGAGCTCTGGTAACCAGAAGGCTGGTGGTTCAAAACCACCAGCCACTCCTCGGAAGGAAGATGAGGCAATCTACTTCCGTAGTGATACTGCCTCAGAAACCCAAGGAGGGTCGCTATGAGTCGGGTCCAACTCAACGGCACGTAACAACAACAACAACTAGGGTCACTATGAGTTGGAATCAACTCGACTGCAATGGGTTTGGTTTTTTCGGAAGGACTCTTCCTTCCCCGGGTGGTGCTAACTGAAAAGTTGGAGCTTCTCGTCCACCCAGAAGGAAGGCCTGGTGATCCACTTCCAAACAGTCAGCCACTGAGAACCCTGTGGAGCCAGCTCTACTGTGACCCACACAGGGTCACCACGAGACAGCGCTGGCTGGGCAAGCAACTGGGGGAGGGGGGTTGGGTTCAGAGGCTCCTGGTTGCTGGCTCTCAGCAGACCCTCCATCAGTGCTTCCTTCATCCCCAGCACCCAGCTCAGCAGGCTGGGAAGACGGCCCTCAGTCACGACAGCCCTTCCAGGTTCTGGATAGGTGGCTGGCAGGAAGGGGGCGGTGTGTCGAGAACCCTTTAGAAGCAAGCCCCGCTGGGCATGTTCAAGAGGCACCTAGAGAAGGGCAGCATGCTTGGTAACGCAGAGGGTCAGCAAAACAAGGAAGCCCCTCAACGAGACGGACCGACACAGCGGCTACAACGAGAGGCTCAAACGGAACAGTTGTGAGGATGGTGCAAGACAGGGCAGTGTTCCATGCGATTGTACATGGAGTCACTATGCACATGGAGTCAGAACTGACGTGACGACACCTAACACCACCACCGGATTCGGAGCCAGAAGCAAAGCCTGGGGCCCTCTGTCTGGTTCTAGGGAAATCCCACCCCAGGCTGAGGCTGCTTCTGATTAATGTCCAGAACAGGTTTCCAGAGCTGCAGGGTGGACTTTGCCCAAGTGACAGCTGCAGAGACAGACCCAGGGCAGAGTCTCCACCCAGCATGTGTGGGGCCTGCCGGGGGCAGGAGCCCTGGTGGACCATCCACCTGCTCCTCCTTGCCCCCTTCCAGGAGCAAGTACCTGACAATGCAAAGCAGCTGAAATATTCTTTGCAAAGCAGAAGAACAGCCAGCATTTGCAGGGCTAAGCCATTAAACTATGAGAGCCAGCGGTGGCTAACGGAACAGGAGCAGTAACAGTTCTACCAATAACACAATGGAACCTGCCAGGGCTAGAACTCCAACTGCCTTATTGGTCCAGGTCTCTCAGAATCTTTCCACCTCCCAGAGGGTGCAGTCTTGCCATTTGTCTATTGCTCTGTAAGGAGCTCTGGTGGCATAGTGCCTGAGGCATTTGACTG